CTCGTTACCTGCTTGAGAAATGCCAATAAATAATCGAATGATAGTAAGGATTTAATTTTTACAAGCGAAAATGAAAAGTAAAAATAACTACATCAATATTATACGATTAATATTATATAGAATTATTTTCTTTTATGGTATGTAGATGACTATCTTTTTATTTGTGGAAAATTTTGTATAACGTTTAATGAAAAACAATACTTGTTATTAACAGTTGTCCTTTTCGTTTTTCAATTATTGAATATTAAAAAATGTATATATAATATATAATTATTAAATATTAAAATGAGTGTGTATATAAAAGAAGTTACAGAAAGTGTTGAGAAAATAATAATAAACTGCATGAATCATCATAAGAGCAATTTTCGAGTCGATTAGTGCCTTGACGTGTTCCACATCTTTCGTGTCGCATAAGTCACCCCAAGATTTTCAAGCAACATGTCACTTTGACACTCGATGATGACGATCGAGGAAAGGCGTTATTCGGGACAAGGCAATCGATTCGCAGGAGTTTGTCACCGGAAGGAAGGGAACTTTTTCCACCACGATCCGAAGAATTGCACCATCATTAAAAATGCGATGGAAGCAATCATTATACTTCTTTGCTGCTCTCTTTCTTTTTTTCTCTCTTTCTCTCTCTTTCCCTATTTTCAACCCTCTCTTCATTCTCTTTCCGTTTAAGTCGAGCGAGATCAAGCAGCACCCTCGAGCACCTCAAGAAGATAAATCAATGACTCTTCTTCGCTCTCCTTTTTTCTTCCCCGTTTGTTCCCTGGCAGCTCCCCTGCCCGACGCCCGTTACTTCCGACCCCTTTGCCTCTAGCAGATAATCATAAAAAGCCAACAGGCAATTAAGGGTGTTTTAGAGTGGCTGCACTCGAAAATCGCCGGACAACCCCAGCCAAAAGTGGGAGAATTAAAAAACATTACTCATCATATAATCGCACGAGCGGCTCTCGGTGCTGTCTGTATTGTTACACACATTTTCTTTCTTTCTCCCTCCCTCCTTCCTCTCTCTCTCTCTCTCCCTTTCTCTCTTTGAATCTCGCGCTTGGACACGCTCGTCCTTCTTACACCTCCGACATGTCGGCAGAAAAATGAGAAATGATCGTGGCTCGATTCAGAGAGGTGCCTGTTTAAAATTCATGAACGATTTTACTGCAACCTCCCCTATCGCAACCCGTCACAAAAGGGCGAACAGGAACTATATTGAGGGAAAGAAGAAAGAGAGAGAAAGATTGTGTGGCCTACATTCGCACTCAGTGCAGAATCGGGAGAAAAAGAGGGGGAGAGAGGTAGAAAGGTAGGTTTGCGACCCCACGAAATATATTAATTGTCGAATTTTCCGTGCGAGTTGCATATCCGTTAGAATCGCTTTGTCCTTTGCCAGGCGCGGATCTCCTGATTATTAATTACTATAACCAAGTGCACCCCGCACTCCACCCTCCCTCCGTGGCTATTACCCTGTAACATTCGCGACTGCATTTCGAAGATACGGCTTTTTCATTTTTTATTGCAGCCGCGGTTTTAACAAAAAAAATGTAAAACAAATGTATACACTGGCTGCGCCCGTTAATTATCGCCCGAATTTCGTTAGCGCAAATTGTCGAATTTTTATCGAGGCACGGGTGGGAAACAGTTTGATTTATTATCACGAATAAAAGCGCGAAGATCTCATGGGCGATATGTCGATAAATATTGTGACATTCAGAAAATAAAGTTCCAATAATTATTGATTAATTCTTAAAGAATTTGGAAGAAATGCTAATTATTTTAATCAAGTTTTTCAGCAATTATCGCAATACCATTATATCATCTTTTTTTCTTTAACTAAATATCGATAATTTTGGCAACTTTTTTGCATTTTTAATTCAAATGGAGACATTTAGATACAACTAGATAGCGGAAACCGTTTACAAATATTCAAAGAGCTTCGTTTCATTCATCAAGAATCACGTTGTTGCGGTAACACATTTGTAATTACGGCTGAATTAATCGAGCTAAGAGAAACGAACATACAAGAGGAACATACACATATTTTTTTTTTGTAGAGTGATGCTAGAGCGAGAAGAGAGGATGGAGGAGTGCAAAAACTACACTTGCACTTATCGAGCAAAAATGTCGGATGTAATTCACGCCTCACTGCCACGGAAGGGTTGTAATTTTCTTGATATTATTCATGAACGTTATGGCAGATTGGCTCATGTAATATAATAGCCCTTCACAGTCGTTTTCTCTTTACGTACATTTTTCTCTGTCTTATCCACCGTATTTTGAATTAAGCCGCTCGCGATGCAGGGTTTTAATATATTTCTCTCTTATAAAGGGCGAGGTGTTCCCCTAATCGCGTGAGCACGCGTACTCATATCATATTTATCAAAAAAATTCATAACGTTTTTGATTTTATACGAAGGTTATACAAGAGTTTAATAATATACATTTATGCAATTCGAAATTTTAATATTTTTCTTCCCTAAAAAAATTTTCTTCCCTAAAATTTTCTTTCCTAAAAATTTGTCAATATCAAAAAAATATTTTTTAAATGTGTTTCATCTAAATTTTATCATGATTTTAAAAGATATTTACAAACATGATTTTTTCGATTATAATATTTTTGGCAATTTTCATTTATTTTAATTTTATTTATTTATTTTTTTCAAAAAAATTTTTTTAAATTTAATTTTACAAATTATAGTTATCTATTCTCAAACAGTAATTGCATGACATATGTTGTCAAGCTCACTCTCCTGAGTAAGTATCAAAAGGTTTTAAGTATCGCTCACTATTTATTAAAAAGTTATTAACGAAAAAAATTTGACGAATTATGTACAATTTTTAAACATTATGTACGTTTTAAGAATCAAGGAAATGTACATGCGTGGATACAGTATGCTCCACTCCCCCTACGGGGGGGCTCCATTTCCGGATAATATAACCTAACCCAAACCTATTCTGATTTAAACCAAATTTTAAGCAAGGTTCATCTCAAACCAAATTTTAGTTTTAAATCAGAAATTTTTTCGTTAATAACTTTTTAATAAATATAATAATATAATAATATAAAATAAGCGACACTTAAAACCTTTTGATACTTACTCAGGAGAATGAGCTTGCTAACATGTGAAGATCATTGAAATCGGTGAGGTCCGTAAAGTGCATAATTACCGCATGATCTTGTACACTATTTTTATATTTATTTTTTATATCTTTCTCTTTTCGTCTCATATTTTCCACCGCACAAACGTTACGTTCTTCTCTTAATACGTTCTTCAACTGCTTACGTTTCATGCACGCCATTTAAAGGTTCCGTTGGGCATAATCTTTTTCACTGCACAGTGTTAGACGATCGATTGTAACTCGCGCCTCGATTTTGTGGAAAGTATCGTGATTTTCGCGGTATAATTCGCAGCATTACGAGCAGTAATGGTTTAGTTAATGCCATGGCCTTCAGAAATTTTGCCTCGTGTCTCCCTTCGTGTTCCATCGCGTTCAACCCCCGGCCTGTTGATATATCTCTGTCTCGCGCGCGTCTAAGGGCGCTTTTACGTTCACAGGCACAAATATATGTATGTATTAATGTGTTTGTGTGCGTGCATGCCATGATACGCGATGATTAGGCACTGAAACTCCACGGGCTATTTGTTAGTATAATAAGCTCCCGGTAGTGTGGCCAACGTAACCACTTGGCGGCACGCCACCCCGTTTTAGCGTAATTGTCCCAGATCGAGATTTACATATATGGATGTGGAGGACGAAGAGGGCGGGTATGCCTGGTCGCGGGGAGAAATTGCAGAAAGCCCGTGATTGCTTTAGGTGGTGGCCTCGAAAGTTCACTCGATCCTTATGCAGCAACCTCGCGCTATACGAACAAATACTTGGAACGGATCTTATCGTTGACCGTTAGAATCTGGAAAAGTACCGTGGAACTACGCTATGCTCGCACGTGTTTCCGGCGATCAAGCCTTCTTATCGTAATATCTCGCACGAGCTTGCCGGGTTTGACATTAGTCAAACTTTAGATCTATTTTGTCGATATTATATGTCATGAGAATAACATCGATCGCTTGGTCCGATGTGCAAATATTTTGAATAATCGGTCATTATCGAAAGATAAATGGTATATTCTAATCAACATGAAATATATACACTGAGAAAAAAATCTAGTTGCATTAATTAGAATTATGGTAGATTCAATCAGTATGTTTGTTGGAAAATGGACGAACCAGAATTCTTGTAGGAATTACCAGATGAATCTGATTAATTTCTTTCTGTTAAATTTATCAAATTTTCTGGTTAATAATACTAAACTCACCAGCACCAAGTCGTTTAAAATTTTTTCCATCTAATCTCAAATGTTTGTTTAATATTCTGAATTCCAACACGATTATTGCATAAATTCAATTGAGATTATTGAATAAATTATTTTAAATTCAGTTTATTAGAAATTAAACTGATAAACAGTGATGGCGTCCTCTTTCTGGCACTACTGCTCGTAAGAGAAAAAAAATATAGTTTGGATTTAATGTTAATACTAGTTCTTTATAGACATCTCACGGCAAATATTGAATACGAGTAAAGTTAAGAGAGAAAATACTAACTACCAGAAAAAATACTAACCAAATCCTTATAGTAAAATCTATTAAACGTTCTAGTTATAAAAAATCGAGTCTTATCATGATAACTAGAAATTCTTGTTTGATTTAACCAAAATGCCTTCAATCATATAGTCTCGTTGGTACAATCAAACAATTTTTCTCAATGTATAATTATAATAAATAAATTATCAGGCAATTTATTTTTTTAACGTTTATAAATTATTCGATCTTTTATAATTCATTTTTAAATAATTATAATAGAGAAATTATACGTCTATATCTTAAGGAAATCTTCTAATACGAACCTTACTCAAGAACTTAGATCTTTCCATACAAACAAATCGTAAAACAATCGTTTCACGCCGATTGTTGTCATTTATCCATCCGCTTCCTTTATATTTTCAGAACGAAATGGAAGCGACAAACGATTGTGGGCTTCGAGATCATGGCTGAGAACAATTTCGCCGTCGCTGCTTTCCAGCAATTGTACGGCAGCGGCGCTGCGACCATCCCCGCGCATCCCACAGCAGGACGTTACTGGCAGTACGCTCCTAGTGCGCACACATTACCCGCGAACGGATTCTTCTATCAGCAAGCGTCGGCGGCGGCGACTCTGCAAAAACCACTCCCTTATCGCTTGTATCCGCCCACAATGATCCTCGCTGGGCCGAGCAATCCCCTTGGCTCTTTGACAGCAAGCTCTAGCCTGTCGTCCCTTAGCAACTATTATAGGGATAGCCCGGAGATAGTTGACGGCCGGGAGTCGACGAGAAAGAGGGATAGAAGTAAAAGCCCGGAGTCGAGAGACCGATCGCCGCCCAGAAAACAAGCAAGATTGTATCCGCTGTCGATGATGCAGGCAGGTCCCAGCAATCCTCTCAGCACGCTCACGGCAACGTCCAGTCTCCCCAACATGAACAACTACTATAGGGGCAGCCCAGAGGAACTAGTGGAAGCTAGAGAAAACGTGGACAGGTCGAGGAAGCAAGAGAGGAGCAAGAGTCCAGAATCTGTTAGGGACAGATCACCTCTAAGAAAAGATACCAGAGCTTATCCCCCCGCCATGATTCAGGCGGGTCCCAGCAATCCGCTCGGCCCTCTCGCGACCGGTTCAAATTTATCGAATCTGAATAACTATTATCGAGATAGTCCGGAGATGGACGGAAGAGAAGGTATAAATCGGACGCGACAGCGAGACAGAAGTCAGAGCCAAGATAGATCGCCCGTTCCGAGAGAGGACAGTCCTCGGAGCGTGAGGGCCGACAGCGATGATGAGAGCATACACGATATCTAGGACATGGAGATCCCTGATATCGACAATGATAAGGCAAGAATGCTGCATGTCGGCAATGGGAAAGAGGACGAATGTATCTTAGGGAATAACTAGAAAATGAAGTTACATAATTTCCCTACAAAATTCTGAAAGTCACCCAGTGAGAAGAATTGAAGAGCTATTGAGAGATGTACGTAATTTGGTGATTTAAACAGCTAATAAAATCTACAAAAGAATTTGAAAAAAATGACTTTTTAGTATTTAGCTATTGAAATCGCGCAGGTATCATGAATTACAATCGAATGCAGCCAACATAACAAGATTGTTTAGAGAAAGGCTTTCTGTCAAGATATAATTAAGGCACTAAGCTTCGAGGGAGAAAAGAGAGATCATGTATAAAAATTATTCGACATTATATTATCGCAATCATTTTCAAATTTGAAGGAGGCAACATCCGAAAATGATCTCTGGATTCGCCAAAATCTTCAAGTCAAATTGATGCAAACGAAACACACGGCGGCCAATTATTTCGTGAGGTAGAACAGGAAGTGACATGGCACGGGACGTCCGGGATTTTGTAGATAATGAGAGCGAACAGGAAATATCGTGCGGTTAACCGAACTTCGTGGTTTGAGCGTTCAGTGAATGGCGAGTTTTTTGTGAAAAACAATTTTTTTTTCAATATCAATGTACACGATCAGCGTGTAAAACGAGCGAAAGTCCCGAAATGCTATCCTCCGAACAAATAAAGACTCATTATCCTCATTCATTATATATTTGTTCATTATTTTATTCCTCCATATGGAATATACAATTGTCGGAAGTGGGGGATATATTTATTTTCCAATACTTTTATAAAGTGAAATTATTTATGTTTACGTGTTTTATATTTTGATCACACAATTATCGTTGATTATACTGTGATAATTATTATTTAATTCGGAAAGAGAAATACATTGATTGATTTTATTGTAAATTGTTCTCTTTAAAATCATAATTAAGTTACGTGTCCTCGTCTCGTGATAATTACACGCATGTTTCAAACATCAGTGCGTTACTGTTAAAGCTTCCTTACGAAATATTGTTAAGGAGTTTAGTATACGAGCTATATAATATATATCAAATCATTTCGCTAAAAAGTCTGCCCAATTGTTTGATAATTTTATAATTTTAAGTTAAATCTTTTCTAAATTCTCGCATCTGCAAGAATAAAAGAACTTATTCACCTGGAAAGAAACTGATCGGGACAAAATTCGGCTCTTCAAATTTATTAGGTATATATTTGATCCCAATGTGCCGTTATCGCAAAACGTAGAATTAAATACCTAGGTTACAGAGAAAGCCGGATTGGTTTCATTGGATGGTTTCATGCCATCGAGGACGGTTATGGTCGCGCCAGGAAACGGGCCAATCGCGGTCGAACGCGAATCTACAATTAATATGACATTAGAGGGGACCTGGCCGCGGGGGAAGAAATCTAAAATGACATGAAATTACACTCGATCGCCGTAAACGACAAAAAAACGGGACAGGGAGGGGGCGGCAAAACGCGAAGGAGCGGGAGGGGGAGGACATCTCAACTATTCAAATAATCGGCGTTCTTATGTCGGCGAAGCGAAACCGGCATTTTGGTCGCCGTTCCTCCTCCGGAACGAGGCGGGGAACCGGGGCCCGGTTAATTAATATCGACGAGACGATGAGATGCGAGAGTGACGGTTCCGAAAATTGCACGACCGCCGACCGATGATTTGTAAGCGACGTGGACAAGAGAAAAAAAGAGAGAGAGGGGGAGATTTTTACGGGAGTAGATCTCGGGAAGAGAAGGCCGATATTTTGTACGAGTGTCGATCGAGTTGCGAGCGTAATAAAATTGACATTTTGCGTAACATGTGCAAAAGAGACTCAATAGACTCCCCTGCTGTCATTAAACGGCACGCACATAATATGCGGTTCGCAGGGATATAAACGACAATGACGATGCGACATTTACGTCAGATGAAAATTACGTGTTTTCTCCGTGAAGAAACAATTGTACGAAGCGGATCCTCCTTAGATCTATTTCGAATCTCGTGCTGAAAATTGCTAGAATTGTGCTGCAAGGAAACTAGTTTGTTAAAACTGGACTAAAACGCAACCTCACACGCAACAAGAACTCTGAGAAACAAACTATTTTTAAAGCGTGGCAATTTTCATTGATTCGATTAAATTGATCAGGGATTCCAAGATGTTAGGATCGAGTCGTCAAGTATTTCTTAATGAGTGGGAAAATTTAATTTTTTATACACAAAAAATATCGAATTAGTTCGTCTGATGTAGGCGATTCTGCAACTTTGGATTAACGAGAGTGAATTGCGCCATTCTGTTTTGTAAATAAAATACTGAAGTACGATCTATACGCGAAAGAAAGAGAGAGAGAGAGAGAGAGAGAGAGAGAGAGAGAGAGAGAGAGAGAGAGAGTACGGGCTGTAAATATAAAGAAAAAAGATGAATCGCAGATGCAAGTAGAAAGGTCGCGAGCCAAGGTATGAGAGGTACGAGATATTTCAAAGTATTTTTCAGATTTTAATAGATGTAGTAGAACGCGAGGCATGTTTTCGAGATGTCGTTCTTTCTGTTATCTCGTAGCGCTCCGGTCCTGGTAAAAAGCGCGCTTCGATGACGTTTCGATGAAGCAGCGCGTTCAATAAAGACATACCAGTATTATAAATGTATAAAATTAGGCTGTATGCGAGATAAAATATCGTCGTACGAAAATACGAGATGCGTCGTCGAGAATCGCACGGCGCGTCTAGTAGTTAAGTAATGCAGCATAAAGTACTTAAAGTATACATAAATATAGTATATATAAATCATGCTTTGTAAAATAATGTCTGTATAGCGAGAATTATTATATGGAAAATATATTATACTGAATTTAATGGCTGGTGCGTCTTTCCTTCAAAGTCTTTCTCATCACCCCAAAACCCTACAAATGATTGCCAAACTCGAAATTACTTTAGTCACGAAAGGATCTCTTCGTTTAACGATCGATTTGCAATCTTATGCATAAAAGACAAGATCAGATTGACGAACCGCACTCAGAAAATTTTCACGCGATGATACATATTGTAACGATTCGAGACTCTAGAGCTCTTGATAAACATGATAAACGTTCATGTTGTGTGTGATTACTACCGTAAAACTGCATTGCCTGAAGAGGAAAAAGTATATGAGAATAATTTTAGCAGATTAATAACTCGATTCACTTTATCTCTTTCTTTAAAGCTCCTCAAGCATAATAATTGTATGATTTAAAATCTGTTTTTTTTTTAATGAAACACTAAATGTGCAATTATTCGACTCGCAAAGTTTTTGTTAGTATTTATACTCCTATATCGCATGTTTCTGAGCTTATTTATCAACAATAATTAATTAAACAGATTGATATTTTCTCACATCATCTTTGGCGCGATGTTTGAAATGATAACGAAACTCTCAAAACAGCCATTACTCGAAATATTCCTTAATAACGGCTAATTTTATTAATAACATGATGATGATTTTGCGCCACGAAGTAGAAACTTCGAAGCAATTAAAGCTTTACTTTCTACAGCATTACGTGTATCTCTGCTAGGCCTCGGTGAGTTTCATTTTGCTACATCATTATTCCCGCTTTACAATTTCCGCTGAGTATATAAATGTGCGTAGAACAGAAAAGCTTATAGTGTCGGTTAAAGGCGATTAAAATCCAGAATACGCATCGTAAAATTCAAGATTTAATTATCAAATTTTATAAACATAATATAAAGGCAATTACATTTTAAATAACAAAAAACAAGCTTTTAAGGATGTTTTGTATGTACAATCCCAGCAAAAAGTAGCTGAAAATCAATATTGACAAATATATCCATTTTTGGTGTATTTTGAGTAAGAAATTGTTTGAAATATTACAATTTGATCTTAGCTATAGTGCAGGGATGTATTTTTTAATATTTATTGCGTTTTTACTGAAATATTCCGAATTTTGTGAATCGAAATGATTAACTTTTGACAGAAAATTTCGCCTTGTGACAGATACATGGCTAACTTGATTGAATTATATTTAATATCTTTTTAACCAGTTAGTACTTGTATAATATTATTTAATCAAAAAACTTTTTGCAAATTTTAAACAAATTCTGAATATTATTTCCATGTGTTTTTATCATTTGAATCGACGTGGTTATACGTTTCCCATAAGAACACATGTTAATTCGGTGCAAATTAAAAACCTTATAACTTGTGAACGCTTTAATGAATCGATTTAAAAATTGTGCTGAAGATTCTAAACATATGTAAGGACATTCTAGGTACAATTTTCATTAAATTCTCAATATTTTGAAAATAGGTACAAAACATCCTTAATTACTTCAATGATGATAATCGATACATCGAATCTAACGAAGGAATATTACCACACTGTTATTCCTGTCTCACTCATATGCGATTACCCACGGATCTCTCATCTTAGATTTTATCTCTATACGCAACTCGCCGAATAAACTTTCTAAAATATTTCCTTACCACTGCTTTACGATTGTTCTCCTTTTTGAAAAAAAAAAAGAACAAAAGAAGAAAGAAGACATCCGTTGATTATAATTCGACGACAAATTTCACGGAAGAACGGATAGACATTCTCCGGGTCCCATCAAGTCGAAATTTCGGCGACGTATAATTTGACGAAGGCGAAACCCGACGAGCGTGACAGTGTGCTTAATCGGGTTTGCTTATTTCCGCCGGTGCAATTATATGGCAGCGCGCGCGCGCACTATCCCTCTGCGCGCATAAGGGCTTATTTTATTCCTATTAGGGTAAAACGGGTAGCCGGGGACGGGAACGGAACACATACTACCGTGTACCCACAATTACGTGAAATTAATTTGGGCCCCATTAGCGGTCGGCCGGGGCACTAACGATTTTCCCCAGCGGCGGACACGGTCGGACGAAGCGGCCTCTCTCGTGACCACACACATACACACACACACACACACACACACACACACACACACACACACATATATATATATATACAATATACTTTTACCATAATAGTGCACCTTCCTTCGCGAAATACACGTCGTGCGTGAAAAGAACTTATGGAAATTCTTAATCGCACCTCGGCATCGTTAAGCTACGATTTCCACCGCGATATACTAAAGTTCTACCACCACCGCTTATGCGACTCGTCGTCGCAATTAAGGATGCAAGAGTATGTAATTATTTCCATTAAGGAGCCATAAATTGCTCTTGCTTTTTGATACTGTGTGTTTGATACTGAAAAAAATATCCATCTCTTTGCAGATTCCTTCTATCTCTGTATCAGCGAGTTGCTATGTATTTTTTTTATAAGGTCGTGGATAAAAAATTAAATCAGAAGCCAATTATATATAATTGGAATAAACGTCTTTTGTTATGGAAGATTTAATTGATTTATGTAAAGATTAATGTTACAAGATTAATGTTATATTGTGTAATTCCTAAAATAGCTAACCTTGGCCACGCAAAGGTCTCTCGATATAATCACAACTATATATATATATATATAATTGTGAGGAAACTCGTTCAACGAAAAGATCCTAAACGGTCAACGATATTATGCGTGTGATAATAATAGTTATTACACTGTTTTATCTCGAAGGGAATTTTACTCGAAAATAACGAGTGTACTAAATGCAAAATTATAACAGTATAACGCGTTCATGAACAGGACATGTGCAACTTTGTATAATTGCAAGTTGCACTGACGAGCGGATGCGCTAATAAGAAAAGAGTCGGTAGGAAATCACAGTTTTAGTATTCTCCTTTTTTTCGCGAATTTGTTCCGTTATGGCTCCACACGTGGAACGCTCGCTTTCCGAACCGATGGAAACCGAAGAAGAAAGGAAGGAGGGTCGAGAGAGAGGATGTGGTTAACCCGACAGTTAAATCGAACTTTTGCCAGGCTTCTCCTGCGCATCCTGAAACGCGCGCGGTAACAAAAGAGAATTGTGTCTGTCCAGTCTCCTGAGAGTACCGTCATCCTGTTCCTGTTCTTTGGTCTCTATCATTCTGCAACTTTGTTTCTTCGATTGTTCGAAAATCGTTTGCAATGTATCTTCGAGCTACGCAGAGAAGCGGAGAGAGAAGCAGAGAGAGAGAGAGAGAGAGAGAGAGAGAGAGAGAGAGAGAGAGAGAGAGAGAGAACATGTGAATTTGCTGCGGAAAGGCTTTGAATGATCTGAGAATGTGTCATGTCACAACTAAAAAATTTCTCGAAAATGATAGGAAAAAACAGACTGAAGCATTTTGATTCAAAACTTGATGGAATATGTAAAATATAAAGAAAAAGATAGTACGAAAAAGAGAGACTTTGGAACAAACTAGGGATACATGCATATATTTATCTTGTGAATAGTTTACAAGTCTCGAAAATTCTTAAAACTGAATTAAAAAAATAATGAACGAAAAAATTGAAGTACTTAAAATGTAATAAACAAAAATTTGAAACTTCTCAGACGTTCCGCCTCTCGACTGGACTTTCTTGAGTAAAAAATATGGGCGTTGATATTAGATAATCAGGAATAAAATTGTAATGGATCAAGGAAAGAGAAATAAATCAGTGGGTCTCGAGTGAAATAATTATTTCAGACGGAAATGTCCGTCTTCCTCATTTTTTCATAATAAAGAAATTAGCAAAATATTACAACGCGGTCGATAAACTATGCGGACGAAATATATTCGTCCGACGCGTAATTCGTGCATGAATAAATATAAAATTGATCGGATCGAGCGATCACACGTGATTCCAATTACGCAGGGAGAAAGGGGCGAGGAAGGGGAAGATGTCCGCATGATATTAAAAGGCCGGTTATGTTCGTTCAAAAAAATGACCGCGGTCTCGGACCTCATTATTATCACCATTTTTGATAAAATGCAAATAACGAGCGAGGGAATTAAAGCGCGCTCGTTCCGCAAAAATAAAGTTATTATTTTCGTAGACACTGTTTCTCTCTCAGCTTCTCTCTTTCTCCCTCCCTCTCTCTCTCTCTCTCTCTCTGTCTTGCGCACGCGCGCGCCGAAAAATGAAAGAAAACGAAAAGATGAGCAAGAACGTATAATGTGTCGAAAAGGCACCTGCCTCTTTCTCGAGGCTCGTTATCTTTCTCCATCGCAGGAGCGGTCGCAAGAAAAGAAGCAGCTAGACGCGACGGCCGATCTTATCTCGCGTCCCGAGACCAGCGAACCACTTATATCGTTAATTGCTCCCACTTCCGGCCTGCCGTCTCCTCCTCTCTCTCTCTCTCCCCTTTTGTTTCTTGTAAGTAACGTGCGCGTGTAAAGAGCACGCAGTTATGCCTCGGGGCAAGTTTTGCGAACGCTTGCGTTGCAGCGGTAACTTTATGCCCTTTTAAGCGATCTCGCCCAGAAGGCGCAAACATAGCGCTTAAACGGCCGACACATCAGTGTCAAGCTGCGCTTTATTTAGTGGTGCGTAAACGTGAGCCTTTAATTTAATTTGCCCGCCCGTGAAAAACGGTAGACTTAAAAAATTTTGCTTTCGACGGACTTATGCGATCCCTTCGATGTATTAAATCAAACAAAAATTTGGCGCGACATATTGCATAAATAATTAGGCGACAGAATATTATTTATGTTAACAATATAACTTTGCGGTATTATTAATGCCATTATGCAGCGGATTACGCGTAATAATGTGATTGCCGTTAATTATACAATATCGTATCGCTGACATAAATTTTGCGAATGACATGTGACAGAATATAAAATGAGTTTTATGAATGACAAGTGGTGATAACATGCGCATTATACAGCATATAATTATGTGTATACTGTTTTAAACATTATTCGTCCAATCAACAGAGATCATAGCGCGTAA